TGTCCATAAGTGTTTAGTGAATAGATGTATGAATGAAAGAATGAATGAAAAGCTAACAAACTAGAGGAAAAGGGGCTTTGTGCCAATGAGGGAATGTGTGTGTGTCTTCTAGTTTAGTTTCAGTTAAGGCAGCATAAATTCTATATCAATGAGCATTTAGTTTATGCCAGGCAGTGTCGAATGATGCTTTTATACTGGTGAAAAAGCAGACAAAACTTTCTGCTTTTATAGAGGTTACTAGAGATGCAGTGCACGAAATTCATGCAGGGGGAGGTGTATCCCTCAGTCCAACCTGACCCCTCTCCAATCTGGGATCCCTCTCATAATCCAAGACTGCTAACTCCCAACTGCTCACCTGCCTGCCTTCCTGATTTCCCCTAATCACTTCTGCCTGCCAGTCTGATCACCCCCTAACCACTCCCCTGCCAATATGATTGATGCATAACTGCTCCCCTGCCAGCCTATTCTCCCCCAACTTCCCTTCTCTGCCAGCCTGGTCACCCCTAACTGCCCTCCCCTGAAGGCTTGATTGCCCCCAACTGCTCTCCCTTGCAGGCTTGATCCCTCTCAACTGCTCTCTTTTGCAGGCTTGGTCCTTCTCAACTGCCCTTCCCTGCTGGCCATCTTGTGGCAGCCATCTTGTGTCCACATTGGAGCAGCCATCTTTAACCACATGAGGGCAACCATCTTGTGTGTTGGAATGATGGTCAATTTGCATATTATGCTTTTATTAAATAGGGTTATAGATGGACAGGCATAAATGAACAAGAAACCATCAGGTAGTGCTAAATGCCATGCTGTAAATAAAACTGCTTAATGTAATGAACTACTTCAGATGGGGTGGTGAAGGAGGGTCACTGAGAGGGTAGCAGTTATGCTGAGATCTGCCTGATAAGAAGTTTAGATCAAAAAGGAGGACCCTGGGGGCAGAGCAGCAGCTAGTGCAAAGTCCCTAAGGAGTGATTCACTTGGCTTATTTCAAAGAGGAAAGGGCAAGTGAGAGTATAGAGAGTGAGGGTGAGGGGTAAGAAGCAGGGAGAGTTTAGCAAGGAGCTGAATGTTTTTGTTTTGTGTGTGTGTGTGTGTGTGTGTGTGTGTGTGTTTGTTTTTTAAATATATTTTATTGATTTTTTACAGAGAGGAAGAGAGACGGATAGAGAGTTAGAAACATCAATGAGAAAGAATCATCGATCAGCTGCCTCCTGCACACCCCCCACTGGGGATGTGCCCACAACCAAGTACATGCCCTTCACCGGAATCGAACCTGGGACCTTTCAGTCTGCAGGCTGACGCTCTATCCACTGAGCCAAACCGGTTTTGGCAGGAGCTGAATTTATTCCAAAAGCAATGGAAGCCACAGAGCCTTTAAGCACTGATGGACATGTTCAGATTTACATTTTTAAAGGCTCACTCTGGCTTCTGTAAGGACAGGAGCTATCAGGGCTGTACAGGGAGATGAACGTATGGACCTTCTGACTGTGAGGTCCAGGGATTGCCACCATTGTTCTATAACTAGGGGTGAGTTAGAAAGTAAAGGGGGCTACCGACATAGAGATGAGTTCTTTTGCCCACAGAAAGGCCTGAGCAGTTTCACTTCCTACATTCAATTGCTTACGGAGATGAAGTTTTCAAGGTGTGGGAATCAATGCATCATAGAGAGTATATGAAAAAACAAGGCTTTGAGTGGCAAAAATGCTGGGGGCTATTGTTCCATTTTAAAACAGGGGAGGACGAGACAACCCAGAAACTGCCCAGCGTCACCCAGTGAATTAATGGCAGAGCTGGTGGGAAAAGATGTGTCTTTGGATTCCAATCTGGGATTCTTTCCACTCCATCACCTGCCCCACTGAGCCGAACACAGCTTTGTTCTGTTCTGTGGCCCTCCTGCACCCTTGCTCAGCTGACTTTCAAATACTGCCAGATGGCAGGAAAAGAGGTTGTGAACACATCAAGTCTGGTCTCTCTATTGGAAAAATAACTGAAATATGCTTTTCTAATTTTGACCCAGTCACACCTCTTTGTGGAGTAGACAGCACACGCATTTATGTGAGAATCTTCATGGTTTGACTACTTACCATACTTCTAAATGTCCAATTGAATATTTCTTAAAATCCACTGAATTCCTAAGACTCTGAGGTCATTTTTAAACTATTATAGAGATGAGTTCTTACATCTTTATAAAAAAAAAAAAAAACCAAAAAACCCAACAACAACAAAAAAACCAAACACCAAATCAACAAACAAACAAACAAAACACTCAAACAGAAACCCACAGGGTCTTTTGGATTGGAAAATGAGAACAACACACCATCTTCGTGTGTGCGAAGGGGTGTTACGATGAATGTTTATATGTGTAACTGCCATTGCATATGCAGATGCACAGGTTTTTATTTTGTTTTCTCAACATTTGCAGGAGGTAGAGCTCCATGCTGGACCTAGATTCTAAATCACATAATTTCATTCTCAACTACTTTGATTTTCTCCACTTTTTTTCTATAGCCAAATAAAATAGACATAATTTGCATCATTCACTTTTTCTTTTAAATTAATTGAGCAATCCTATTTAAATGGAATCCGTGGTTATGCATTCCTCTTCTTGTGTTCATTACAATAAGATTAATGACCCACCAATCCAGTTTTCCCATGTTAGATTTTGTTTCACATTTGAGCTTATTTGGACAGATATCACCTCCTTACACACTTAATAGATCTATAATTTATCATTCCTTGATCTCTGTGTAGGAAGTACTTTGCTAGGCACTAGTGTTGGAGGAAAATAACTCAGGATTGGCGCCTGAGAATCTGTAAATCTTATCTATGAATTCAGATGTCTGTTCAACACGACTGAACCTCAAAAACCTCACACCTTTATTATGTTTCACATATTATATTGCACTGACAAGTTTAACTGCATCCAAGACTGAACCAGGTGGTGTTTAAATTCCCAAATACCTTACATTTGAATGCCTCAGGCAAGAAACACTGGCTACACATAGGCACAGATTATAATATTTCTGGCAAGAGAGACGTCAAAATCTCAAGAGGGAAGGCCTTTGCCCATAAATTTTACCAACACATTTATGCTAACCTTTATGCATTTCAGTAAGGCTTAAAAAACCAATGCTTAGGCATTGCTTTTCTGTAGGTTTCATTGAAGTATCAAAATTAAACTATTTTGAAAAATCACCATTGTAGGACCCCAGGAACTGTCCTTCACCTCTCCTTTTAAAGCACTTTCTCTTATTGCCTAAAAATTCAAGTACTCTCTTAACCAAGTGCAGACTGAAATATTTCACTGTGGATTTGAACAGGAGCCAAGAGGGTCGATGAAAGGAAAACTTCTCTCTATAAAAGGTTTATTGTCAGCGCTTTCTCAAGATGTAGGTTCTTCTAAAACAGGCTACCAACATTTTCACAAACATTGACGCAGCCTTCTCAGCCTCTCCTAGACCTATGATTCAGGTCCTTTTCTTTCAGGAAAGTTCTACATCTAGCCTTTGACCTTTTGGATAGCCAACTCTACCTGCTTCTGCCTCCATCAATATAATGTATATTATAAAAAGGAAAGGGGGATGGGGTAGCTTGGTCCTCATGCTAGTGGAAAAGTACTTGAAATTCCTCGCATTCCTTTGCATTTAGCAGCATGTTTACCTAATCACCAGTTTATTAGGATTAGCACAAGTCATTGCTTCCAGCTTATTCAATGAAAACAAACTGACTCCTATAGACTCAAAGGTTTTTTTTTTTTCCCCTCTCTGATCCCAACCGAGGGCGAATTTTTAAGTAGTTTTTGAAACAATATTGGTAAAATATGAAGTTATAAACAAGCATCTTTTATAAGACATTATCTAACCATACTTAATCTTATCCAAATGAAGACATGTGCAAGCTACGGACTGCTTTCATTAGTTTCTCTCTCCTGAAGTGACATGCACCATAACCTAGTGATTAAAATGATAAATTACTATATCCATCTCACAGTGACTGGGTGAGGGAGACCCCTGGGCTTTGATTTCTTATAAAAACAATGCATTATTATTTAAATCACAAACTTGGCTTTGGATTCTTCCTTGTGCTTCTTACCATACCTGGTGTTCAATATATGTTGTTTGTTTTTTTAATGCAGATTATTTTAAATACAACCATCTTTCTCACTGAAGATATAAAAGCATTGTTTTATTTATGTAGGTCATTTCCCTGTTCTATCCCAAGCACCTAACACAGATCCTGGCACAAAGCAGACGCTCAATAAATCCTGTTTGAATGATTGAATGGATAATCTAGATTGCTTCCAATGACTGTGGCCAACCTCTAAAAATATGGAATGCCATACACGCAGATATTAGGTAAATATTTCTTTATTAAATGATTAATTCCATAAATAAATTCTTTTCACTGAATATAAAATTAAAATCATTTACAAATTATTCCAGTATTACATTTCCCCACCCTCCCCGGAAGCTACATTTTTGATAAATAAAAACATTCAGTTTTAAAAACACCTGATTTCTGTTTGCAGTTTAGAGTGCAGATAGCTGCCTCTCACGGACACTCACAGAGTGTTCCCTTCGGGAAGGAACGAAACCCCTCCCTCCCGGTTACTTCTGTCAAAAGATGAAGGCTTTCCCTGTCCCACTAATCTCACTATCTTACAATTGCAGAACCGAAAGGAAAAATAAGCCTAGAGAAAAAAAAAATACGCTTACCAAATAATTTACAAACAGAAAACAGAACGTCATCAACACCACAAGCTCCAAAATGAAGCAGTAACGTGTGCTCCAATATTATGAAGCAAAGTATTCTCCAATGGCAGCCGCATCAGAGTCCATCTGCACCAGCACACCTGGCCGTTTCAAAACACCTTAATACTACTCACGTGTGAGCAATGCATCCCTCCTACAATGAGTCCCTTCACCCCCATCGCCCCCACCCATGTCTCCGCGATTCCGGCAATCTTCTCCCCGTCCTGTCCACCCTGGTGCTGGACACCCGGGTGGCGTCTAGTCCCTGAATTTGTGGATGTCATTGAACAGCCGGTAGAAGGGAAACGAGGCCTCACTGGCATGCGGGCAGTTGTAGTTGCACTTGCAGGACTGGATCATCATGACGTTCTTGGAGAACATCTCCCCGTCCTCACAGCGGAAGCGCATCTTCACCGTCCGGGTCTGCAGGGGCGTGCAGCAGCGGCCGTCCACACAGGAGCCGCAGTACTTGGGCCTGTATTTCTTCACACTCGAACATCCGGCGTAAGTAAACTTGACCGGCTCTGGGGATTTCTTGGTCTTGCTGCATTTCTTGCCCTTCTGTAAGAAAGACGAGAGAAGGAACGTTAGGGGCAAGGGTTCTCTTTCCTGGAAGGCAGGCCCCCATCTCACCCAGCTAGCTGCCCAGCAACAGGTATCCGCCAGGCAGAAACTTACTTTCAGGCTGCTGTACAGGGGCTGTCCACAAGGCCGCACCTCACAGATCCGGGTTTCTTTCACCAGGCGGCATTCAGGGTTGTCATTGGTAACGCGTGTGGAGATACCAGTTCCGCAGGTCTTGGAGCACTGGGACCATGAAGTTGTTTGGACGATACACTTCTGGCCGTGCAGAGAAGGGTTGTACAGGATGCGAGGGCCCTGTCCAAAAGCTAGAGAGGTAAACAAGAGGGAAGACTTTCTCAGAGGCGTGCTGACAACCAACAGATCCAAGTCCTCATTTCTATAAATCTTCACCAGGCCTTGGGGGCTCCGTTTTCACTTACCAGGGAGCCGCTTCGGGAAGCCGCCTTTTCCAAACGCGATTAACTCGTTTTTTCTTGTTAACTCCACCTCGGAGGCATCGAATGTGGGCCCCTTGCCCAGGAGGTCATCCCTGTCCTCCATAGGGTCCTTGGCACCGTCCTCGTCACAGATCCACTCCTCACAGCACTGCCCGTTCACTTTGACCAGCCGGGGGTTGGGACAGCCCAGGTTGGGGAGAGAAAGTTCTTGGGGGCACAGAGGAATGCAGCCCACGGCGCCATCGATACATGTGCACTGGTGTTTACAGTTGGGCTGGAAACTCTCCCCGTTCTGGTAGATCCTGGAGTTGTATTCACAGGGTCTGCCCTCCGACTGAGCTGCAAAGAGCACCAGGAGAGAAAGGGAGAAGAGGATCAAGTTAAGATTCCGCACCACGGCCGCCTGAAACTCATACATATTTCTGCTGCTAAATTCAATTTATGGTAAAGTTCCCTGCAAGCTCCCCAGAGACTGCAGCCCAGAACAATAAGTTAGTCAGGAATCACTTTTCCGTATGCGCTTTTCGCTGGGCCCAGACACACTGAATTGCATTCCAGACTGCTGAAATCATGTGCCTTTCTGCCAAGCTACCAACAACAAAGCATCACCATACATGGTCTCAAAATTACTAAACTCCTGAACTACGGGGACTATTATTTTTTTTAAAGGGGCCAAACCACAACCCTCTTACCTCTGCAGATCCCCTTCAGAGCGGTGGGGCTGGCGCCGAAGTTGCATTCCAGCCCCTTGGTGTGGTCGCAGGGCTGCGTCTTGCTGCAGTCCTCGTTGAGCTGCTTGGCGCAGACCTTACAGCAGCCACAGCCATCCCGGACCAGCCCGACTCCCGGGGCGCACTTGGGCGCCTCCAGGGGGCAGTCGCAGGCGGCGGGGCAGGAGAGCGCCTGGCGGGGGGAGAAGAAGACTCGCGTGAGGCTCGGCGGGGTGAGCAGGAGGGGCGCCCAGGGGAAGGGACAGGGATGGGAGGGGGGGGTCTCCGATCGGGGCACCCCGGGCAGGGCTGCGTCGGCCAGGAGGCCCCAGACACCTCTTTAAAGGGGGAACGTAAAGAAAGAGGCTCCCGAAAGGTCCCCGAACTCTTTAGTTTACTTTTTTCCGTGCCGTGGGCAACGTGGGGAGAGGACGCGGGGCTGTGGAAGCGGACGGGGCAGCGGAGGCAGAAGAACTCACCAGCCGGGCGAGCTGGAGGAGGGTGACGGCGGCGAAGAGCGTCCTGGCCGTGCGGGGGCTCATGGTGGCGCGCAGGGGGTCCCGGCGAGCGAGCGCGGAAGCAAAGACGCGGGCACTCGGGGCGCAGCGGACGGACGGACGGCGGCGGCTGGGCCGGGCGATCGGTGCGGCGGCGGGCCGGGCGGCACGGAGAGGAGGGCCGGGCGGCGAGAGGCTGCGGAGGTCCTTCTGCCGAGGTCCGGGCCGGGGAGCAGCGGAGGGCCGGGGATGATGCTCCGGGTGGCTCCCGCTCGCGGTCTGCCCCGGCGCGCAGAGCCCGCCCTTTATACGGGCCGGCGGCGGCGCCGCGTGCTGCAGTGACGTCGGCCCTGTCTGTGCCTCCAGAATTCTCAAACATCTCAGGAATGCGCGCTGGCGCGGGCCGCTGCCAAGCGCCTCCCCTGGCCCCGTTGCACCTTTTTTTTTTTTTTTTTTTTTTTTTTTTTTTGGTCCGGGACCCAAGCAAACAATCTTCCGTTTTTCCACCCGTTTTTCCACTTTAAATAACGACTTGTCTATAGGGGAGGGATCTTTTTGGCGTGATGGTGGTGGACAGATAGGGGGTGGTAGGGGATGGAGGGGGGGGGGGGAGAAAAGAGTTCAGAACTTTGTCTGGACCGGGAGGGTAGGAGGACCTGAGAGGGAGGGGAACAAAAGTCGTTTTGTTTGGTGATGCCGAGTTGACTGGGCAGCCTTGGAAACCCTCACCCGGGAGGCGGTGAGCTGTTTGCTCGTTTACAGCGAAGGTGAGAGTCAAGTTATCTGCGGAGAGAGGCGAAGGGGAAGGGGGAGGGGGTGTATCTCTGAGCCAGGCAACTACTTGTGGACTTGGTAGCATGCTCGGGTCAAGCCCCAGAGCTTCGGCATGGTGTTTATTAGCAACGTGAAGTGCATTGCAAATTAATCCCGCAGTGTCATTTATGAATGAGAGGGTGGGGGTGGGGTGGGAATCCACTGCTCTCTCCCACGCCTGGCGATTTTCCAAGCAGAGGTCTTCCTTCTTCCGCGCCCCCTCTCCCCCGTCCTGCCCTCCCTTTTTCGGTCTGTCGTCCCTGTTTGTTTTTGGAGGTTCCCACTACTTCAGTTCCAGCCCGCTGCCTGGGGTTGCAGTCTGAGAGGAAGTGAAGGCTGGGAGTTCTCCGGGAGGCTGGCGCACACTTCCTCGCGGATGCGGGAGCCTGGGCAGGCGCTGCCAGCCTCCCTCCCTCCGCGGGCGGGTGGCGGTGCACACGGAGCAGCCAGCCTCACAGAGGGGACCGCAGTGGAGTGATTTACACTGAGATCAACACCTGTGTATGCTGGAAAGGCCAAATCGGATTCCACGAGCATGGTGCCCAGTGGATCCCTGGAAAAAGCAGACCCCTGAAAGCCGAAAGTCGTGCGGGATTTTTAAATTTCCTTTCCTTGGAACCACTTAGAAACCTCCGGTCGCAAGAGAATTGCAATGTTTTCCTCTCCAAGCACAGAGAAATAAGAGTTAGGGTGGGATACTCTGTAATTAAAATGTTAGCAGATTTAAAGGCCCTACTTACCTGCAACGCGCTTGGCAGAAGCAACTATTTAACAGCACCCACATCGTTAGTGGGATGGATAAACTTTCCCTCAAAGTTTCTAAAATATCTCCTTTGTGCAATTTTAATAAAAACATGTACAAGAGATTATGCCAGTCTCCCCTGTATATGTGCTTTAGGAGAGGTGCCTGTCTCATTTGCTCTTTTGTCCTTTTTAATTTTGATGGAATTGGACAGTCTTGCTGAAGAAGGCCTCCCCCCCCCCCCCCCCGGTGCTGACTGTTCTGTGATTGAACCGCACATGGGAAGCGATTGCAATGAAAACAATCTCCAGTGAGGAGAACTATCAGGGAGGAGTTAAGTTTCATTCATTCAGAAGTGCCTTCTCAGAAGACTCAGAGGCTTTTGCTGGGGGAAGCCGGATCTCTGAGGCTTTATTGGAGGGGTGTGTCTCTTCGCGACAATAGATTGTCAGGCGTTATGCAAATAGAGTGAGGAACGTCTGGGCCCTATGTTGTACGCAAGGTCCATCCATCAATTATTGTTTAGGAAAGTGGTTTTTCCTGTGTTAGAGTTTTATTGCTGTTTTCTTCTTAATGAAGTGCCTGGGACCAGAGTGAGCAGGGGCGGTGCAGGGTTGGGGACGTGGGTGGAAAGAGAATGGACGCAGAGGAGTGTCCCTGGCTTCTGTTGTGGTGTCTTTTTCTATTTGACTTCATGGTTGTAAGTATTTCCAGATGGTGAATCAGACACCAGACGTAACAATATTTCCATATTTGGGTATAGCAGTAGCCTGCGTTTTTAACATTTTTCTGCCTGTTATCCAACCACAAAGCATTCTTGACAGCTTCAGATGTTGTTAAATATAGACTTAACTTCTGTTCCCAGAGCAGGAAATTCTTTGGAATCCCTTGTTTTCCACGCAATCCGTCTGTCATGGTTTAAAATAAAATTTCAGCGGATGATCCAACTGGCCTGGGCATATACCTTGTTCCTGTATGGAAGTGGGGATGGGGGCCGGGCAAAGAGGAGGCTCGGTCTGCTGCTTTGCAGCGAGTGGCTTTGCACTCAAACACACATCGTTCCAGGGATTTCTTTAAAAATCAAGTTTTCTAACAAGGGTGTGTGTGTGTGTGTGTGTGTGTGTGTGTGTTTCCTCTTTAACTGGGGGATTTGGAGGAGGATTTTCAATCACAGGAGAAACCTAGCTCACCTTACATACAGTCCGCCACCTGTGTTAAGCAGGGCCTGGGCTGTGGGAGGGGGTTCGGGGAGCGGTAGCAAACAGGGCCGGGATCCCAGGAACCTAGGTGCCCAGCCTTCCCATAGGTATCCCGGTGCGTCGGCTGGTAAACCAGGGCGGCAGGCGAGCGGAACAGCAGGTCCTCTTGTCCAGCTCAGGGACCATCCGGGAGCCCCAGACGTGTGATCGCCTTCTCTGCAGAGAAGTTCGCGCTCACCGAATGGAAGGACGTGTGCTACTGTGTCTGAGTAGGTGCTGCTTCTGCGCTGATGCTGCCTGGCTCTTTTGCTCCGTGTCCCCCCCCCCCCCCCCCTGTAGGGGTGCCCCGCGAGGAAAGGAGGGGCCGCCTTGTCTCCCTGGGCTGCAGGGCGCGGAGAAGGAGCTGCTTGTCCTCCGCAGCCCCTGGCTTGGAGCTGAGCGCTGGGGGCGCCGCTCACCCCGGCTGCCCGGGAGTTTTAGGTCACCCCAGAGAAGGGCTCACTGTCACCCCAGAGAGGGCTCACTGTCTGGCGGCGACTGAGAGTGATCATCACCTTAAACCTGGTGCCCCCGGCGACCTAGCTCTGAATCAGTGGTTTCCAAACGTATGCATCTGAGAATCAATCCCCTGGAGAGGGGGGTGATGGGATGATTGCCGGGCCCCATCCCAGGATTTCTTACTAGTTGCCTTCCTAACGGGTCCCTAGGTCCTGGCGCGGCGGCGGGTGGGAGCCACACACCGAGAACCACAGCCCGGAACGGCCGGGTGCCCGGGACTCCCGCGCCCCAGCCTCGCCGCAGCGCCTCAGAGAGCAGGACGGCTTAGGGTGCCGCCAAAGACCACTTGAAGGGGCCGCCCCGCGCCTCCCTTTTTCTCTCCGCAGCCCTCCCGCCCCGCACCCAGCCCGGCGGAGGGGTGGTGGGGGGAGCCGGAGGGAGCGCCCGGCAGGCGCGCGGGGAGAGCGCCAGGACCGAGCCCCGCGCGCCCGCCGCTGGCTCCCGCCGCCCCCTGCCGGCGGCCCGGGCGGAGGTTCCGGCGGCCGCGGGGCCCATATTTGGAGAAAGTCTTTCCAGGCTCCGTCATCCTCCTCCCGGGGGGCGGCGGCTGTCCTAGGGGCCGGCCCACAGCCGCGGGGCGCCGCGTTCCTCCACGGAGCCGGCGCCCAGGCCTCGGGCTGGTGTGCAGAGCCGGGGCGCCCCCCCTCTCCCCATCTTCCCAGCCCCCCGCCGCTCAGCCCCCCGCCGCTCAGCTCCTGCCCGCTCCTCGCGAGGGCCCGGGCCGCCCGCGCTGCCTGGGAGGCTGGCGCGGAGAGAGCCTCGGCCCGATGGTGTCACTTTTCCCGTCCGCCCCGCTGCTGACTCGTCCTCCCAGCGGGGCAGCAAGTCGCCGCGCGGAGCCAGAGGCCGGGGTACGCCCAGGCTCAGGGGCAGGGGCGTGTGTGTGTGTGTGTGTGTGTGTGTGTGTGTGTGTGTGTGTGTGTGTGTGTGTGTCCGAGGGCGGCTTGGCTCAGACCTGGAGGATTCCCTCCCCCACCCCCAACACACACACACCCATCTCCCATCACCTCATCCCCTCTCCACCCCGGAGAACTGGCACTTGGAACTGCCTCGGGGGAGAAGTTCCTAAGGCTCTGGTCCCATTGTCCCCAGAAGGGAGAGGCGCTGGAGCTGGCTCTTGCTCTCTCTTGGTCTCCCCTACCTTCCTCTGTGCATACTGCCTCCCCTTACCCTGAGTAAGTTACTTTGGGAGGCGTGGCGGGATAGGGAAGCCCTAGCTCTGCCACCGCACTGGTCTTTATTATTATTATTATTATTATTTAAAAATATATTTTATTGATTTTATTACAGGGAGAAAGGGAAATGGATAGCGAGTTAGAAGCATCAATCAGCTGCCTCATGCACACCTCCCACCGGGGATGTGCCCACAACCAAGGCACATGCCCTTGACCAGAATGGAACCTGGGACCTTTCAGCCTTTCAGTCTGCAGGCCAACACTCTATCCACTGAACCAAACCGGCTAGGGTTGCACGGTCTTTGTAGCCTTCTGCAAGCTGTTCAGCTGCTCCAGGCCTATTATCCTTCATCTGTAAATTGGGAAAGGAGACAGCAGGGAGTAAAACTGGAGCAGCCCCTTTAGGGCTACATCTCATGCCATCCTCTCCTCATGACAGAAGCAAACACTGATATGGCTCACTATGTCAGACACTGTTTGGAATGCCCTTTTATATATTTAATTCTCCAATGCCCCGTGGAGGCAGTTCTTCCTATCCATCAATATCTCTTACTATTG